TATATATATATCGCGCTTTAATAAGAAACACACTGTTCTTTTTTCTGCAAGACATATTAGCATCAGACTGATCTTCCTTCACCGAAAATAGTCAAAAATCAACCATGTTATTTTAAGTCAAGTCAAGTTAAAATTTGTTTTTCAATAGCACATGTAAAAGATTAGTATACATCAAAGTGCTTCACAATAATTTTAAGTTTGTTGAAGCTGAATTGGGGTGATGCACAGTGTTGTCAATGACTTTATTCTAACCATTTCTGTTTCTCTCTTTCCTCTTCTCTCTCTATAATGGATCAGGAGTGCAACTGGAGAGGCTTGGCATGAGATCATGTTATCATGCTTGAGTCACCGTACATGTGATGAGCGATCAGGGACCCACGGAAAAGAGTGTGGCAGCGATTTTGCCTATTTCTACTTTGTCTCTTTCATTTTTCTCTGCTCTTTCCTGGTCAGTACTGAAGCCTAAATGTCGCCATTGCAGCTGACACATTTGATTGTTTAACTATTGGCCAAAGAGTTTAACTGACTCTTACTTCTGCTTTTTTATAATATTTACGTCTAAATTGCTGATCACAACACAGAGTAAATATAAAACTTACTGTAAAACCTCGCAGCTGCCCATCTTTAAGCCACCTAGTCAGAAATACACATGTGCTAGTTAGTCATCACACATATATTTGGGACAGAGTAATGATCATTACTGGTCATTTCCTCAAATTTTTAATGAATGAATAAATCAACACTTGTTAATGAGTTTTTGTTAGTACAGGATTTTTGCTCCCTGAGAAGATACACATCCAGTATTCCAGCTGTTTAATTTTTTACATACATGCCAGATCCAGTATGTGTAATCAATACATGATACTTAAAAATGTGTTTTCAAGCCACTTAAAAATACAAAATACAGCATATCTTTTTTAAAGTAGCAACAGTTATATTGCTAAAATATAATATTGACCCTCCTAGGACCTGGCGTCCTCATATGTGGACATCACATTTAGGGTTATTTAGACCAACATATACTCAATTTTGCTCTACAAGGGCCTGATCTCTACTTACGAGAACATTATACTGCTACTGTTATACTGAAATTTTAAACGAATATCCTCATATGTGGCTCTCATTTTTCTTAGAAAAAAAATCTGGTAAAAAAAAAATAAATCTGGTAATTCTTTGTTTTTACATTAATTGGGTCCTAATCAGCCCAAATATCAAAGAGAAATTAAAAATACATGCTGTGGAAGAGTTCAGGTCTTAGGAGGTTAAGATGTATGTCCTCTGTGTTTTTGGCATTATAAACTTCATTATAAACTGCTGTTCCATTTGTAATAAAACATTAAGACAGCATAAAAACAATGAAAGTGAAAAGTCATAATCAAAATATAAGAAAAGGTTCTTAAAAAATGGAAACAAGAATAAATCAGAATCCACAGAATGCATAGAGGTGGCATTAAAGTTATTGAATTAAAAACAGTCGAAACAACGGTATTAAGCTTTCTTTGAAGCAGTTTTTAAATGTAGATAGATATATTCTAAAGGGAACTGTGGGCATGTTTGCACATGTTTGCAATTACAATTAAGTGTTTTTGTTTGCTTAACATCGATAATACTGTGAAGAACTATTTCAACATGTTTACATCAGTATCTTGTCTAGTTAGATAACATTTCATCTGTGAAATCCTAGAATTTAGTGTTAGCTTTTATTAGAATATCATAAAACATAAAAATACATGTCTGTTATTTTTAATATTTCAAAACAACAGGTCTAACTACCTTATGTCTGTCTTCTAGATGCTGAACCTGTTTGTGGCAGTCATAATGGATAACTTTGAGTATCTGACCAGAGACTCGTCCATCCTGGGGCCTCATCACCTCGATGAGTTTATCCGGGTTTGGGCTGAGTACGACCCAGCTGCGTGGTATGTTCAAGCCTTCATCTGGCCCCAGAGAACAGAATGCACAGTAAAGTGAAGGAAAAACCTCTCTAGCCTTACTCCTCTCTCCCCTGTTTGTGACTACGGTGACTGAACAAGGCCTCATTCTTGTACCTTGTTGTTTGCAGTCAGCCCTCTGATAATTATTGGGATTTTGTTTTTTTGTTTATTGTTTTGTTTTGTTTTGTTTTATTTTGGAAGCTGTCCTGAATGGTTGTTTATTTATGTGCTTGTTCTTTTCCGCAGCGGACGGATTTCCTATAAGGATATGTACAATTTGTTACGCATTATCTCACCCCCCCTTGGCTTAGGGAAGAACTGCCCTAATAGGGTAGCATACAAGGTTTGCAAATACCAGACATTTCCGTCACTAGGGTGCTTTGTGTACCTCTATGCCAAGAGAATTTTAACTGAATGGCTGTGCACCAATGAAATCGCCTTTACACTAGCACTTGCCCCTTCAAACTGTCTGGCTTTGATGATCCTGGAGTGGAAACAAAGTTTTCAAAGCCGCGGCACTGTCCCAACATGCTGCCTGCCATAAGACTTTCTTCTGTCTGTAATGTTTTAACTGCAGACTGCAATTTACTCTACAAACTGAGCCTTCAAAAGTCTTAAATTCAATTCAGTTATGGCAAATCAAAATCAGCAAGAACAATGTGATCTTTTTTGTACATGTCTGCCTCGTGAAAGTTAGGCTATGAGCAACCACAGCAGATTTCAGGCTGGCATTGAAACCTTTGTCTCCGTACACCCTGGTTGTAGTACCAGTGAGATGTCTGCAAGCATGCTGTGGCAGACATCCCCATTATACTGCTCTCATCTCTCTTCCCTTTCATCAGCATCCTGTGTGGGTCTGAACATTGTCCCATTTTTCTCCCCTCCTCCCCTGACTCACTCTTTACCATTCCATGTTTCCTCTCAGGAATCCTGAGCTCCATAGCGATGCATCCATCCCTGCGCCCTGACACAGTGGCCGAGGATGGCATATACCTTCCATCTCACTCAAGGAAATCTATTAACAACAGATTTCTGTTTTTCCTTTCCATTATTCTGCTGTTTTGTTGATTTCTTTTTATTTATTTTCCCCTTCTCTAACTTCCCATCCATCTCTGTTTGCATTATATTTATGTTTTGATTTCCTACCCTGTGAAGTGGCCGTATCAAGTACCTCGATATGTATCAGATGCTGCTCCACATGTCCCCACCCTTAGGTTTGGGAAAGAAATGTCCGCCAAGAGTCGCCTACAAGGTAGACCCTCCTCTTCCGCCACTTTCTTCCCCCTTCTCAACAATCTTTTTTCCATTGGCGTGAACTCAAGCCAATGTCTTTGCTCTGCACTATTCCCACATTTCTTTGTTTTGCTAGTGCTCTGATATTTTGAGTGTAAGTCACTCATCTTTTCTGTCTTACGGTTTTGCTAATAGTATCTGCTGCTTTGGGTTAATACCCATCCCTAATTATAAGAACATAGCCCTTAATAAAGAATGCTTGATTAAGATATATAATGTATATGGAGGGAAATTGCTCCGTTGCATCACTATTTCCTTTCAGTGGTATACCCTAGTTTGGTTTTTATTTTGTGGAGCAGTGAGTTTTGCGTGCGTGCGTGCGTGCGTGTGCGTATGTGTGTGCAGTTATGTATGTCCAGGTGTGTGTGTGTGTGTGTGTGGGTATGTCTAGCTTCTGCTGCTTTTCTGTGGAAGAAATGTTTTGTATATGTGCTTTTGACTCTGTGGTTCTGTCTGTACTGCTACTACTTTTTTTTCTCTCATTTTTCTGTCATATCATCTCAGTCTGTTCACTGTGTGGAAATATCTGTTGTGTGCATGTGTCTGTGTGTGTTTGTTTCTTTCTTTTTGTGTTAGAATATTAGAGGTGCTAAACCTTGATTTAACCTCTACACTATTTCTAGCTGATCACATTATCTTTATCCGGATAGCCAATCTAAATAATGAAATTTGCATGTTAACACAGGGGCAAATGCAAACAGTGTAGTCATATACAGTGACTAAGTTACATTTGAGGAAATCTTTACACTGTGGTCAACTTGTTTATAAGGTTTAAAGACATTGAACAGGAATTTCCAGCAGGATTTCTGTATTGATTACTCAATTACTCAAACATTTTAATCTTCACCAATGTGTAACACTGATGTGCGTGTTTCGAATACTCCCAGATCAAAAAAGGATTTGGCACCAAAGAGCTGAATGATTTGGACCAGTAGGTTCGGCTACGTACAGGAGAGGCGAACTGAATGAGACTCAGACAACTGCGAGTTTTGAAAAATAACCGGAATTGTATTTTTCTTCTCAATTAGAAATAACAGGACATTATGACAAACATACAAAACATTTACAAATGAAATTATTCCCTTTCGGTACCAGTACTCTCTTAATAATACCTTTTGGCAAAATCACAGTAATCACTCGATGAGAAAGAAATCTTACCTGGGTGCACCCTTTCTAGAAGTACAGTTCACATCCAACAATGAACCACAATTTCAATCATCAGCATGTAAATGTTAACACTTATTTGCATTTTCACAGACTTCGTTTACAAATAGCAACAGTTAATCAGCTGGAGGGTTATTTCCGACAGCTCACACTCACTTTTGTTCACATTCATGGAATGTACAGAGTCCGTAAAACGAGTCCTTAAAACCACCCGCCCGTGAGTCCAGGGGGATGTGTGTGAAGAAGGGGGACTACGAGTACAAAATGGCGTGGTGTGTTTCTGTTTTGTTGCATCTGGCCTACCACACTCTGATGTGCAGGACAGAACAAAGTCATTTGGTCCTTCAACGAGGTTGGCTCGCCATCAATTTCAGGATCCGTTGGAATGCACCAGGAAGATACAAACCAAAGAAAAAAAAAAAACCTGACCTGTCAACGACAGTGTCATGGGACATATTAAGTTCCTCATAAAATCACAATTCACACATTCGCTTCAACTACTGGGTTTCAGTAAATTGAACAAAGTTTCCTACAGAACATTCCTAAACAATTATCATTAAACACTGGAACATTTTACTTGCAAGGCATTCATGAAACACAGATAAATAATGAACAAGTAAAACACTTTGCTCACCGATCTCAGAATTAGAAAGACGGAGCAGCGCGAGATGGCGCACGACCGATGAAATGGCGTCGTCTCTAACTCCCGACCTTTCTTGACTAAGCAATGTAAAAAGAACCAGCTAATTACTCGTCTTAGCAATATATATACAGTAAAACAATCTTTCATAAACGGCGAGTGCTAGCTCTCCGTCTATATTACTCTTTTTCACACCTCGTCTCAGTAAATCGCCGTGTCTCGTTTCCTCACTAACTTGCTCATGGAAGGTTCGCGAGCGAGAGAGAGAAGAGAAAAATCTGTGTCCTCCTAGGCAGGGGCGGCAGGCGGAGCCTGTACCACGTTTCAGCAGCTCATTGGCCTAGAGTAACACGTGTCTAAACCAGAACAGTTAACTCCTTAACTGCTGCACCTATGGTTTATTCATTACAAATTAAGTGTGCTGCTTAGATTAATGATTCTTTTCTTATTCTGGTATATTCTAGTTAAGCCATACTCAAATATGGGTTACAAATGTCACAATTATTACCAAAGACAGTCTGAGTAAACTAATAACAGAAAAGGCACATAACAGAGTGGGACTCATGTTGGAGCAAAATGACCATAAAAAAATTCTGAGATTTTTTTTTTTTTACACATTTCAATAATTTTTTCCTGTATTTGTTAGTAAATTGGCGATCCTCGCCCCACCTTTACTCCTAAAGGACCTTTCTTGGATGCTGCTTTTGTACCAAATCATAATTACAATCACCCGTTGATATCACCTGTTTCAAATCACATCATTATTTAGCCAATTTACCTGATTACTAGCCCTAAATTGCTCCTGTCCCAACCTTTTTTGGAATGTGTTGCAGGTCTGAGTGACAGGTAAGGATGTATATTTACAAATGAAATTAAACTGACCAACCAAAACGTAAAATATTTTGTGTTCATATTGTCTGCAATGAAATACAAGTCAAAGTCAATTTAGAAATCACTACTTTCTTTTTTTATTTTCTGTTTTCCTATTTTATTCCAGTTAAAACTCACCTCAGGTAGATATGCAAAAATGGACAAAATGTAGTGTGCCATTTACAAATGTTACATTACATTCATAATGGTTGTACAGTACTAGGCAAAGGTTGTAGGCACTTTAAAGAGTCTGGAATCTTTTATGCTCTACAATAACTCTAAAAGGTTACAGTTTGTATTTGTCAGAATACTGAGTCAGGTAGCCAGCACAGTTGAATTCAGTGAAGCTTTGTTAGTTACTTCTCGCTCCAATTATAAGAGCGTGCAAATGCATAACCATGTAAACAAAAAATTAAATTAACATCTCTCACCACTTACCTTGTTGTGTGAATGCCTCACCGGCATTCACACTATTGAGATCCTGTTTCTCTTTATTCTTTCTTTTTCTTTTTCTATTTGCTTCCGTACATTTTTTGCCGCTTAACTAGTCCCTCAGTTTTTATGCCATTATCACCATTCAAATTTTTACAGTTTCTATCAATTCTGCTCTTTCTAGCTCCCATTGAAGTGAATGGCACACATCCCATAAAATGCTCTAAGTGGCATGTTTTTGAACCTTAACTACTTCCACATACTTTCACCTAGAACCACCATTCCACCTTTAAACCATTCTCCTGTTCTTCTGCTACTGCTGTCTAATTCAGCTTTTCCATAAGTTCTACCATTTCCCTTGAATTAATTTTTAACTTTTGTATGAATTATGAGGATTTGCATGGGTTGCTATCGTTGATATGGACTGAGAGTTAGAGTGCGTGCACTCTAAGCTCTGAAACCCTTCTTCATGTACGAACAAACTCCTGTTGCTTACTCAACTTTTGCTGAACCCACACGAATTATACATCAAAACGTAGGTATTTTTGTTGGCTTTAAGACAGTGTCACTATCATTATCGTGCGAGTTACGTTTTTTTTCACAATTTGCCTCGAAGTGACACAAGGTCTGAAAACTTCCCATTCAAAGTCTATGGGGAGGTTGTGAAACTTAGAGCTGAAATTCTGTAACTGGAGGCATTTTCGAATCGTCATATCTCCTTAACAAAGCAAAGTTAAGACATGAGGCTTGTGCCAATATATCTTCAGACACTTTGAGTGTTCTAAACAGTTTTTACAATTATCTTATCGTTGAGCGATGAATTACGTTTGTTTGAGGGGCGGAAATCTGTCCTCTCAGTTTTCAAACTCTGGAAATGAAGCCGTGTGGTCATATCTCCGCGATGGAGGTACAAAGACCTATGTACCTCCGTCACAGTGAAAGTTCACCAAAGTCTGCTGATTCACCCAGTACAAAAATTATGCTTCTATCCCACCTACCTTTTGAGTTGCACAACGTTTTGTAACACCAAAAAACGGCATTTTTCGCCTCTCACCGCGATCTAATTCTGACTCCTCATCACTCTGTTTTCTGAGCCCCCCCGCCCCTGTTCCAGGTGGCACAATTGGTTATGACACGGGTCTGCAGCCCAAACGTCTTGGGTTCAATTCCACCTTGTTCCACAGGGTTTTTTTTTTAACTACAAATTAATACACTATCACAGTCCTGCAATTTATATTGCTAATTTATTACAATTCTGCTATGTTTTATGATTTTGGCAGCATTTCTAATATGGACCTCAGATTCTTGTTAATGCTCCATGGCAGAAATACATACAAGTACACAGCCTGATGAAGCAGACAGAAGTAGTACCTCTGATTGGTGGACTAAAATTGAGCAGAACCAGGTTGTTCTGCCTCTTTTCAGCAGAAGGTTCAGCGTTTTCACCTCTTATCAGCACAAATCTCAGCCTCTTCTGCTTTTTTTTTTTTTGTCAGAATTTTCAGCTTTTTCACCTTTTTTAGTTACATGAGAACCAGTTTGGCTCAATGAGTAGCTGAAAAAATTTCAGCCTCTTCTGCTCTTTCAGAAGAATTTCAGCCTTTTCACCTTTTTCTAGCATACAGTTCTGTTTCTTTAATGATACACTGGAATGCTTTTTTTTTCAAGGTTCTTCAAAACTTGAAAATGCTCTGCCTTTAGATTTAGGTTTATGCTTTTTTTTAGCTTGTAAGCTTTGTACTTATATTGTACTTATACCTCAAAAAGTTTGTTATGCCTAAAAATAAATGTAAAAAAAAACTCATGTTATAATTAGCCATAAAAAAATTACAGCTCTATTAACTGCTAAATGCAAGAAGGGTTGAACATGACCTAATGTGCTGAAAAGCATTGGAGCGGCTCTGCTGAACAAATACCATTTTCAAATGGTTATTTTTCTGCAAAAAATATTTATTTCATTGCATAAAAGACAAAACATATGTTGCTACAGGTAAATCTTTAATAGGTCAATGACTTCTGTTATTGTTAGTGGTTTGAGTTAAGGATTTTTTCTTTCCAGTTGATTGTGCAGCCTATGATTGTGTGTGTACATTTGCTAAAGTGAGTGTGTGGCCATGTGTAAAAAGGCCTGAGTGTGTGTATATGTTTGGCCCTCAATTCTCCATCCCCGTTTCATTCTGACTCTGGTCTTCTTATTCTCTGCACTGCCACTGATAGCACATGTAGGTGAATGCTTTTTGTGTTCAGGGGAGCTCAACTCTTACAGCAACAATCCCATAGCATCCTTTATGCAAATAGTGGTTCCATTAATGCTGTATGAACCAAGTCTTCCTGCTAAGTCTGATCAAGCTTGGTGGAATTAACTCTTTGATGCTAGTATCCACTGTACATGTAGAGCATACTCAGCTTCTCAACTCCAAACTGATGATTGCTGCGATGGCAACCACAGAGTCGAGCTCCTGCGACTGTTGAAGCACCTTCATGGTTATGTGTTACATGCCTTCTCTCGCCTTTTTTTCGGTCAATGTCAGTCTTGCACCAGTGCCCTTTGACTTGCAACATAGTGCATACTGTAGCTAGTAGCAGTGTATGTCAATGTCTAGTTTGTTTCCTGTATATTCTTGTAGAGAAGGCTTTTTGTGTGCTGAAATATATCTCTGGAGCATTTCATCAATCTAGAGAAACTTGCACATAATAAACCAAATTTAGCAAAGAACCTGAATCATTTGAGGGGATAGGATCACTTCAGCACACAGACTGATTTCTCTGGGTGAAATTTATGTTTTTATTAAACAGTTTGTTATGATCAGTGACCTAATGTCTCTTTGTCTAACCCTCAGCGCCTCGTCAAAATGAATATGCCTATTGCTGATGACAACACAGTTCACTTTACCTCCACTCTGATGGCACTGATTCGCACAGCACTGGAGATCAAGTTGGCGTCAGGTTAGAGGCACATAATTATACACTGATAACACTGTGTAGACCCAAAATGGTCTAAGTAATCTTCAATGTTAACCCTAATCCTAACCTTATCTTTGGAGCAAAGCAAAAAGGACAGTTGTGGGGGGAAAAATAAATAGTTTTTGATGTGTGTCAGTTAGAATTATTACGTTATGGTTAAGGTTATCACTATTATGACAAGAGGTTGAGTCTCTTTTAATCTCTCTTGATTTTGTACTTGTAGGAATGGTAGCCCAGCGATTATGTGATGCAGAGTTAAAAAAGGAATTGTCCACAGTGTGGCCCAACCTTTCCCAAAAGACCATGGACCTGTTGGTCACGCCACATAAACGTAAGCAAATTATCAGAATTTTAATTTTCTATTCATCTATAGATGACATACATAAAAAAGTAGTCTTTTTCTTTTTTTTAAATTGTGGCACTTAGAGTTGATGCTAAAGAGAAAATTAATTAATAATTAATAATTAATTGACTTTTAATTGAACATTATAGTACCATTCCCAGACTCTGGTGTCCTTTCATAATACTATATTCATATTATATTCATAATACTCTTTAGTACACTATAGTATTAATACTCTGACTAGCAATTTTATATGATGGATCATGCAGAAAAAATAGAATTGGGCTGAAAGGTCTATTACATTGTTAAGTATTCAGGTTGTGTGTCGTGTTTTTAAAAAGTAACTAAGTAATAAAGTAACTAATTACTTTTGAAAATAAGTAATTAGTGAATTAACAACATTTATTTGTTGGTGAAGTAATCAGTAATTAGTAATTTTTTTCAAGCAATTTGACCAACACTGGTCATCATGACTTTAAAAATTTCTGACCCAAGGTGCAGACAGTGACTACAATCAAGTATAGGTTTAATTAAAAAAGGCAACAGGCAAACAAGGCTTAGGAGTAGGTACCAATTAGCAGGTGGAGATCTGTGGTGAGTGGCAGGTTTTCAGTGGAGAGTGGGCAGGTAGGCAATTAGCAGTTAAGTCAATGAATCCATAGGAAGTGGTGGGCTATGAGAGTGACAAAGGCTTATAACCAGCTGTGAACTACTGATTCCTCAAGGGAAGAGAGGATGGCTTTCCAAGGGATGGAGGACAGACTTCAGCTGGTCCACAGCTGGTCCTTAAATATACTGCCATAAAAAGTAGATGCACAGCAGCTGTGAAAGCTTTTTCACCCAAAAAGTATCCCCAAACCACCCTATAGTGTGAGTTACTGTGTGCATGTGGCCATCCAAGACTTAACTTTACAGTTGATTTTGTTGCCACCTTTGCCAAGATGTGATCACCAGATACTGCAACTACAAAAAGGCATTTTGACTCAGAGGTGATTGTTCTGCTTTTCTTTTTTTTAGTTACTTACTATAAATTAACAAACTTGTTCACCATAAGAATTCCCTTTTCTTTAAACCATTAGGGAGACATGCAGTGCACAGAGATGCATTGAAATAAGAAGAAATGAGTCAGTTACTACTTCTTTTTATGTCTTGTCATTTCTTAAATAATTTCTTCTCACCTCCTCAGCCAATGAGCTCACAGTAGGGAAGGTTTATGCAGCCTTGATGATCTTTGACTACTATAAGCAGAATCGAGCTAGGAGACTGCAGCAGCAACAGAGCGCTTTGGGCTCCCAGGTACAACACCCTCATTACATATGCAGACATGCAAGGAAGTACACACACAATGGATGGAGTTCAAATCTAGATGCATGGGTGCACATACATGCTTGCAAACTTACACACTTTGAATGTATGCTGCATGTAAACACACATGCACAGGAGATACTTTGTGTTCACTAGTAATTCACTGGTAATTTGCAAAAGCTATCATCTGTTTTCCCAATTTATATAGAAGTACCAGGAGAGTTGTTACTTGCTGTTGTTGTATTAATCTTTTAACAGTTACAAGGCTAACATCAACCTATCTGCGGCCAGGGTCGAGTAAATTCTCATACATTTTGGCATTAATTTATCCATAAAAACCTTCTGAACCTTCTGAGTGTGCCAAGTGGGCAGAAATTCTATAGAAAAGGGACAGACATGTTCTAAGTAGGGGAAATGGTAACCTTAACCCTAACTTTTGAGGGGTCACCAGTAACCTAGTGGATGTTAAATACTTAATGACACTCTTGTCAGTTTCAGTCAGACATGAATTGGTGGAATTTGGCTGCTGACAGATGTTTATCAGCAACTTTGCACGCCTACTCTACTCGTGCATGTTTCCACACTCCCACATGCACATAGATATATTGCAAACAAGCATGACTACAAACAAAGAATATTCTGGCCAAAGTCTCCACATCCAACTAGCCCTGAGCGCCTGTTGTCAGACCTGGGTCCAGCAATATTCTGCCTGCTGCCTCTGGATTTCTTCAGCATGTTGCCATCCATCTCTCCTCCACAGTGCAAGGTCGGGGCTCTATTTAAGCCATTGCTGCCTCTGACTCACATACAGGAGAAAGACCTCCCTAAGATGTTAAACAGTGTGGAGCCTCCCAGCATGCTTAGGTACCAGTCTAAATCCCATGCCAAGTCTCAGCCACAGACCAGACCTAGCTCCAACTCCCTCAACAATGGAGGCACTCTGTAAGTTCAATACTTCAGGAAAAACGCATAACAGATTCTTTTTTATATTCTGCTTGTGGTGTGTTGTGATCCTGTATTGAATAAACAGATAGATGGATGAATGATAGATGGAGTTGTGCTGCTTAACCCTATAATGCCCTTTGTTTCATATTTGATACATGAGTTTCTGAGACTTCTATCTAATCAACATGATCAATACTTGCCATAATTTCAATGCTATAATGTAATGGAAAAAAAAAAATTTTTTTGTGTGAAATTAACATTGTTGTTAACATAACATTGCCAAAAATGCCCAGTGTCACAAATGCGATACAAAAATATATCATAACTATATCATCAAATTATATAGTAAACAACAAGATATAGCAAAAAATGTAGGTTTTGTTATAAAGGTTATTAAACATCTCAGTTCCAAAAAATTTGAATTTTCTGGCTATTTTTGATGGGTTGGGTCTTAAACTTAGATAAAAGATCTGATTACTTCTTTCATAACTGCATGCATTTATGTTGCAGTGGCCCTGCAGAGTTTATTCTGCTATGCCAGTCTTCTATAAAATTGTGTAAAGGTCATAGTGGAGAGAAAATCAAAACTGAAATAAATGTAATACTTTTATGTGCACATTCTTTTTACTCCAGTACCTTCTTTGCCTCTAGGAGGTATTTGCCAGTAAAATTAATGGCTGCATTGACAATAGCTACTTATTTTAAGTAGCTATTGTCTAATAGCTATAGCTACTTATCTAAATAAACTAATGTACTGTCTTAGTCTACTGACAAATGCAAGAAGACATTTTACTGATGAGCAAAGGGCTGTTTGTTGTGTTTTAGCATTCGTTTAGCATCATACTACAGCATCATACTCAGCTCTGTAACCCATTGTGAAGCCGGAGCTGTTAACCCACCATACAAATTTTGATGTAACCTTATGTGTATTCCTCAGCTTTTTAAACTTCTGCCACGTTTGTTATGAGCATCCCCTAGTGTAATAAGAAAAAGCATTATAGGTTTTCAGATCACCAAAATCACATTGATATATTATTAGAAGTAAGTAAATCCGGTTTACCTGTGAGTGTGTGTCAGTTCTTCAAAGTACAAATGGTGCATTGCAGACCAACTTTCTTATTTGAGACCTGGTTCTTGCAAAAAAATTAAATCTTAAAGTTAGATGTAAAGGAAGTTTTTGGATGTGAGATCTGTGATCTCATCTTCGGGAAATCTTCTAAAAATCTGATTGCTTTTACCACTTAAAGAATATGAAATGACCCAGTTGACTAAAAGGCCTGAAAGACAATGGGAAATTATAGTGGAGATATAGCTGTTGTATAATATAGCTGTTTAATTACCAAGAAATAATGCTAATTGATCAATGTGTCAGATATCCTACAATAGTTTTACAGCTAGTTTTGAATACTTGAGACTTCAATGACAACAGGAACCGCTGACCTTGTAAAAGTTAAACTGAACTGTGATTATTACACACAGGCCAAGTCAAGATCACACCATCAAGCCATCATCTTCCTGGGTGATTGATAAACCCAAAGAAGTGCCATGGGCTAAGAATAAGAGAACGATGTCCCGGGGCCCATCTGAGGACACTTCAGACACTGCCATCAATCAGGTAAAACATACGGATGCATGTTCAATATGAGCTGTGAAAATATTTCAGTGTTTACAATATATTCCAAACATCGTGGCACAAGTGGCAGAAATAAGCTTCTTTTGGATGCTGGCTGTCCTCTTAAAGACAGGCTGAGGAGCTTGATCAGGAGTAGAGCCACTTTTTCTCCACATTGAAAGGAACCAATTTGACGTGGTTCAGACATCTGACTAGAACTCAACTGACTAGTTGAGTAATTTTAGGAAAGCCCTAGGCAGTCTCCTGGACAGGACTTGCTCGAGTTATGTCTCTCAGCTAGCTTGGGCACAACTCAGTAATCCCCCCAAGATGAGGTGGCCGTGGTAAGGGAAGTCTGGGCTTCTCTGCTCAGACCCAAACCCAGATAAACAGTAGAAAAAGCATGGCCATATAGAATAATGTTTGCTATAAAATGATTACATCAATTTGATTAAATATGGTAATTCATGTCAAAGCAAGACTTCACATAGTATCCTTACTATTTGACTATTTTTATTAATACTACAGATGTGCTCATGTCCTATTCACTAGGTTCTGCTCTTCTTACTTTAACTTATAATCTTGTAATCCGTGTATAGATGATTGTTTTCATTCACAAATATTTCACTTTTGCTTTACTCTCAGTGAGAACAGCATAGTGGTTAGAATTATATTACAAATAGTACAAGTCTAGCCTATCTTTAAACCATTGAGTCATGGTGTCTGTTATCTCAATACTGAATTAAAGGAGCAGTGTGCAACCTCAGACAACAATCGTTGTTTGTTGTTGATTGTTGTTAATGACACAGTGGGTATAATTAAGCTACAGAGTAGTAGCGGGTAGAGTCTGTGTTCTGCTAGTAACATCAATTGTTGATGTCAGTGATTAGTGGACTCTGTTGCTAAGAGACCATTAGCTAATTGTGGTGTTATAGAGACACAGCGGGTCCAGAGAGTTCCAGTAGTCTTCTCAAATTGAGTCCAAATTGCTTAATGCACCTCCAAATGTCATCATTGCATGCTGATGAGGCAGGGTTTTGTTTGTATTTGTATGCTCAGGAGTCGGTAGAGATGAAGAAGATGGAGACCAGTGTGAGCAGTAGAATTCCATTCACTGGCTCCGGTCTGGAAAACCAGGGCCGAGCTGCTTCGATGCCTAGACTCAATACTGAGCTGCAGGTAACAGCTCATCTTCACCAAACTTACTTACTTACTTAATTTACTTATTGATTTCATTTCTTATCGATTCTCTTATTGATGCTTCCACTGATTTTCATTTGGTTGGAGGTATTTCCTCTCTTTTTTGTGATCAGTGTTGCGGTTGTTACTCAAGTATTTTATTACACAGAAAACCTTTCTTTAAAGTAATGCAGTACATTACATTAGCATTTCGCCAGTCTCTTATAATTACTATTTAACAATATAAAGCTATAGGTGTTGTTAATATAAACCTATACCAACGCAAATCGGTGTCCTAATGTGTAGACACAAATAGATTCTTCCTCTTAGTATCTAGGTATTGACCACAAAGGCAATGGCAACAGGTTGTTGCCATGGTGGGTCACTGGAAAAAAAAACAAAATAGTATTATTTTACTATTTCAATTTCATTGTGGATTCAGTGTTTGAGTTAAGAGTGCACATGTTCGCAAATGCAGTGATCTGATTGATCAGATTTGTTTATTTGGATTTCAGATTTGTCTAATTTCCAAAAAATTTGAAAAATCGATCTTGGTTCAAAGCAAAAATAAAATAAATGCCGCATGTTAGTACAGTCAAATTATTCGATGGGTGTGAATGGCTGCATTAAGAATACGTGAGTCTAAAAAATATGTTTAATGGACAAGGTGTGGCATATCTGTAATTAATTGATTTTTTTTTCCATCTATAGGCCACACGGGTACACAGCCCATCAATGGGGGCCAAAATTCTGGCTGGGTTGTAGTGGATTCAATACTCCTTTCACTCAGTGACATGCAAATCAATTTATAACTTTTACGTGATGTGTTTTTTCTGGAATTTTGGTTGATATCCTGTCTTAATCAGAGCTCAGTTTCGCTCAGAAATAACATTACTGTTATTTTTCTTAAAATTAATGCAGAACGTGACTTTCCGGGTTAAGTAATAGATTAGAGTATTTGTTACATTACTTTCACATTATATCTGTCTATTTTCTCAGTCATCCAGGTCATGGTAGTATTGAGAGCTTGAAAGACGGCAGTTAGACTTCTTCAGGTTTGAGAAAATGTTTTACATCTTATCCAAGAGACTTTGTTCTAATGACAAATGGTGGAGAGTCCCCCCTCTGGGGCTTGTCTCATTTGGATGTGAACCTCAGGGTTGTTGACAAACTATTAATTATATGAGTCATCACCTGAGCCCAGCTGTGAATAAATGTTTGCTGCATGACCATAGCCAGGCTTAAGGGTGAAACCCACCCCATAATGTGATTTATTGAGGACACCTGAGACAAGATGTACATGGGGTTGAGGTGCCTGGGACAAAATCTCAAAATTTCTCCGCCTCGCACCTATGTCTGTTTCAATATCTTAACCCACCCCTCCCTCTAACAGACGGGGATGAGTGCACTAACATACCTGCAGTTGCTGTTTTAATGAGTGTTTGATGGAAAACGACAATGGCGGAGTTTGCGGTCTCCAGTCGCATGATAGCAGGGCCCAGGTAAATAATTTTCCAGCACGTGTACGTTACACATGCTATTTAAAAAAAAAAAAAATTATGATTATTACTTTGCTAGCTATCAAACTCGCTGAAGAAATGATTGAAATGCACTGAGTGTGATGCAATACGGCAGCGCTATTATTTTTTTTATTTTTTGAAGTAAATTCTAGCTTTATGAAACCAGCTTGGTTTTTACAATACTGCGTCAGAACACTTTAACTATGGAACGCCAGGACTGCCATAATGAATTAATTAAATACACCATTAAATAATTAATTAAATGTGTCAATAATTAATTAAAATTGGAATTAATTAATTAAATAAATAGTTATGACACATGTAATTAATTAATTAAATAAATAGTTATGACACAT